ATCAAATACATTTTATCTATTATAAATTGGATTCGAGGGAGTATAAATTTAAGATTATCATGGTTATAACTAGTAAAATGGATTAGTTTGATTTTTTTTGTTGAAATAACTTATATTAAAAAAAACTATAATAATTCGAATTTAAAAAAAAAAAACTAAAATGACATACTTTCAACAAGCATGCACCATATGATATGGCTGTAGCATTGCAAAAGTATCTCATGCGCCATATCATATGGCGCCTCCATTGAAGCTTCACAAGACATACGCCATTTAATATGGCGACTTCATTTTGGTTTGCCCTAGTTCTCCAGAGGAGGCGTCATATGATATGGCGCCTCAGTGTAATCCTTTTTTTAATCCATATTTGATTTGCTTATTTATTTATAATTTTTAACTGAAATGATTTTTTTAAAGGGTAGATACGCTATATCATATGACGACTGCACTATTTCATTTTTCTATAAATAAGACTGCACATTTATCTGTTACTCCACAATAATTATCACCAATATCCTCAACTCTCTACAATAATTATCACCAATATTTTCAACTCAATCTAGAATTATGTCTGCATTCTTAAACCAACGTTCATCGTCGTCATCATCATTCTCGGAGGAACCGCTTCCAACATTTCCACTTATGAAAAGAAATGCCCTAGTTAATTTTTCAGCAACAAAGCCTCCGAAAAAGATCTTACTCTGGAACACGCAGACCTTGGAGCATTTGCATAGGGAATTGAACCGCTGGCTAGAAGGAGATATTGTTGCAGGTGAAAAGATCAGGAAAATTGAGAGGCTAGTTGAGAAGTCAGGCCGAAATGGAGTTACTTGTGATTGGAAAAAAAGTGAAAAATGATGTTGGTGTCCTTATGATGATGTTAACACCAAAGAAAATTATCTTGTTGGTTGTAATATCCTAGACAAGTTGATGCATTGAGTTGTTTTATTTGGATATGTTGTTCTCATTTTGCAATTGTTATTTTGGTATTAGTTTATGTTGTTGTTAATTATTGTTGTTGAGATATTAAGTTATGCTTGTTTAAGTTACGTTGCTACTAATTATAATCGCTTAGGTATGCTATCAATGGAATGAAATTAGTTGTTGATATAAAGAGACAAGGTTAAATTTGAAACTATGATCTTGTGATTAATCTGACATTGAGACATTTTGTACGATTGTGTCTCGGCTGCCGGCACAAACTACATAATCCGACCATTTGTTTGATGTATCAATCTCCGTTCTAATACACGTACTATTAGGGCGACCTTTTTTCTTTCTTTGCATCAAATCATTATGCCAGACAATTTCGCCTTCGTACGGAGGCCAATAGTCCTTCTTTGCTACCACCTGAAAGCTAGTGTTGCAGACATTGCATAGACTAATGATTTAGTAAAAAATAGAAAGATAGTTGGTTGGGTCCTAGAGAGCCTTCGAACATGCTGCTATAACATAGGAGCAAGGCATACGAAATGCCTGAAAGTTTCCACAGTCACACCAACTCCTATCTAGTTCCACTCGGTAACATCCCCTAGTCCTCCCTTCATTGTGATCAATTGACTCTACAACACTGAACCAACCTTTATTACGGTCAAAGACTATGACCACATGTGTGTTGGCTTTGGCAGCTTCGTCCTTTATGAATTTCCCTGAACTATTACTGTACAACTGCCTTGATTGTAAGATAGAACCCCACTTTGTATGCCTGGTATCAAAAAGTTCCCCAAGCAATATGTTTCCCTTATCAAAGCAGTTATCGATAACTTTCAAATTCCCTTAAATAAAAAATTCGTTGATTCAACAAGGTATGTTGTCATGTGGCCCATCGCTGGCCATTGTCGTATGCCCTTGTCCATTTCTCTAGTTGAATATTATCAATCCATCTTAATACATATGTGTTTTTCAGTCTGATCTCGTCACAATAGTGTTTTAAAGTAGGATCTGTTAGTGCATACCCTGCGTTCACAACCTTCTTCCTTAGCGTTTTGTCTTTGATCTCCCGCATAAAATTTTGAGTGATATGTCTTATGCAATACACATGGTTTGAGGGAGGATTCTGCCAATTGTTATCAAGATTCTTGTATGCACTCTTGATTGATGGGTGTCTATCAGAGATCAAACATAAGTTAGGTTGGGAAGAAACATATAAGCGGGCTTTTTTTAGGAAAAACTCCAACCCCCAGCAGTCTCCCCTTCAACTAGAGTGAAGGCGATTGGAAAAATATTGTTGTTGCCATCCTGTGCCACGACCATGAGTAGCGTACCCTTATATTTTCCGTACAACCATGTGCCATCAATTTTAATAACAAGTGTACAATATGCAAAGCCTTTGATACATGGTTCAAATGCTCAGAAGAGTCTGTGGAAAATGCCATTTCCATTAACACAAGCTCTGTCTGGTGTATACGCCAACAATGTCTCCAAGATGGCAACAGTCCCTATAGCATATTGTTTAAGTTCCACCAATTATTTTGGAAGTTCTTTGTAAGACTGCTCCCAATTTCCGAACACCGTTTCAACCGCCTTAGTCCTAGCTATCCATGCTTTCCTGTACGAAGGAGTATAGTTGTATCTTTGAACCATATGCAAGATTATGGTACTCACCTTTAAAGAAGGGTTGTCACTAATGATTGAAAGAAATTCATTGCATATCAATTGAGAGCTGAGCTTGCGATGATCCTGCATTAGATTCGTGATTATACAAGTGTGCTCTGGACCCATTGACCCTATCTTCAATGAATCACTTCTCTTTCGGAAAGAAGCTGTTAATCAAAACGGGAACACCTCGTTACAACAATATATCTTATACAGAGTCAGATTCGTTTGATCGACTCTATAATCTACTAATAAGTCCATGTGATATTGTTTTTATAGCTCGGACACAGTCTTCTTTTGTACGAAAATTGTCTCGCTCTTTCAATACTCTTTCTATTTACAAGTATGGATTGTAAAAAAATATCTATTAATGGTTCATCTTCACCTAACTTGAGACTTGTCATGTGTTGAGGTCGGCAATAGACATGACTAGCTAGTAATATGTCTTCCTCATTGTTTACCATTTCATCAACAATGACTTCAACTTCTTCTTATTCTTCGTCAATGATATCGACTTCAGCTTGTTCGTCATCAGATTTGTAAAAAGCTTGAGAAGAATCAAGTTGTTGAGACAATTTTTGTTGTTGTAACGTAATACATAGCCCAATATCAGTGAAACTAGAATACCCATGACTGAGAAACATATTACGCACATCTTCATCGTCTCGGATCTTTAACTGCAAAATTTTGCATTGCTCGTACCCGCCGAAAAACACAGGATGCTTCTAGATGATTTGGCTAATTGGACCACACTGTAATTTCTTTTCTAATCTCGCTTTCAAATGTAAAAAATTAATCTGCTGTCAATCAAAAACCTAGTAACTTCCGTATTTCAAAAATTGAAACCAGTTATGGTACATTCAAATATCTCACCATTTAGATGTGCACTGATCATGTATTGTGGTGTTTGAGCCATAACAAATACGTTACTAAACTCGTGTTTGAAAGAATTGTTTTACATGGAAGAATATGTTACTAAATGATATGTTACTAAATAATATGATAATAAAATATATATCTGTAGTGTATTAATATACATATAGTTTGAATATAGTATTGTTTTTTCTCAATTATCATTGTACTTCTTCCATGCAATTGTCTTATCAAATATTTTTTCCCTGCAAATGTCTTGTCTCATTTATATCTTCTCATCACATGTCTTGTTCTATTATTATTATTATTATTATTATTATTATTATTATTATTATTATTATTATTATTATTATTATTATTATTATTATTTATTTTTTATTTTTATTATTTTTTTTGGAATAAAGATTTTATATAAAATCAAAAGAAAGAGAATATACAAGGGTATAAAGGCCCCCAACCACAAAACACCCAAAAAAAACCCACCACTATTCTATAAGAAGTGTAACAATATGATGTCTCATCCTAGTATTGGCCCACCCTCTATTATCAAGGGTAGAAATGACTAAATCTCTAATCTCCAAGTTCACATTATTGTCAAAGGCGACATGGTTACGATACTTCCAAACTTCATAGATGGTCTCCGCTACAACACTATGCAAAATGCACTTTCTCCAGCCTTTCCCTTTATAATGTGTGACTAACCACTCGAGCTCTTCACACCATTCACAAGGAACACGTTGAATCCCCAAACACGCCAGAATTTGCTGCCAACAGTTCTTGAACGGCGGGCAATTGAATAAGAGGTGGTCAATTGTTTCCTCCTTGTTGCAGAAATTACAGCTTTCATCGGTCGTAAGGCCAAGCTTCTTGAGTCGTCCCTTTGTCGCAAGTCTACGGTGGCAAGCCATCCACATAGCAAAAAGGGCTATTGGTCTAGCAATAGAGTTGGAAAACATATGCTTCCATCCAACATCAGGTTCATCTTTCTTGAGGAAATGGTATACTTTTCCCACAGAGTATCTCTCCTTCATTTCATTCCAATCTTCCATAGCAATTATGATGGTTCTATGTTTCAGCAGAGCTTTGAAAATCCAAGACATACTTTGTTTTTCCTGGACCTGCAGAATATTTTCCGTTTTGAAATAGAAAGTGTGTATCCATTTCACCCATAGAGAATCCTTCTTGTTGCAAAGGTTCCACAACAATTTTGTTAGACAAGCTGTGTTCCACTCTGATAAATCCAACACATTCAAACCGCCCTACCTCCGAGGTTTACAAACTATTTTCCAAGCAATTGGGGACTTCCTCGACTTCTCTTTGCTACCTGTCCACAGAAAAGACCTGCAGATAGAATTAATTGTTTTGATCACATGCTTGGGAAAAGGGAGACTGTTCATCCAGTAAGCTGCTATAGCAGTTACGGTGCTATTGATCAACTGGAGTCTGCCGACATAGCTCAATAATTTGGAGCTCCAATGATGAATCCGGTTAACAATTCTGTCCACCAAACTCATATAGTGTTGCATTGACAGTCATTTACTGGTGAGAGGGACCCCCAGGTAACGAAAGGGTAAGTTCCCTTCCATAAACGAAGTGGCAACCAAGATATTGTGTTTTGTCTCATTTTCCACTCCCCCGAAGTACACCCTACACTTTGTAGGATTAACCACTAAACCAGTGGACTGTGAGAATGTTTGCAACTGATCAAAAAGCAGCTGAACAGACTTTTCATCCCCACGGGAAAAGAGGAGAACATCATCCGCAAAACTGATGTCAATAATTTGCAGCTTTTCGCATTTTGCATGGAAATTGTAGTCAGGTACCTTACTTAACTGGTGAAGGAGTCTATGGAAATACTCCATGGTTAAGACAAAGAGAAGGGGGGAAATAGGGTCACCTTGCCTAATGCCCCTCTTAGCCTTCATGCTTCTAGTGATTCTGCCAGCAACCTTAAACTTGTAAGACACAGTTGACACCGCCAGCATAATCCATTTGGTGAATTTGTAAGGGAAACCAAGTTCCTTTAGGATACACTCAAGCGCATACCAGTCTAGGGTATCATAAGCTTTTTGGATATCAAGCTGCAACAGTCATCTAGGAGTACCTCCCTTTATGTTGTAGCCTTGAATTAGCTCGTATGCTAATAAGATGTGCTCATGGATGTTCTGTCCAGGGATGAAGGCAACCTGGCTATGATTGATAATGCTGGTGAGAACCTTGCTCAATCTTCTAGTCAATATCTTTGAGATGATTTTGTAAAGTGTAGTACAGCAGGATATCAGGCGAAAATCCTTCACACAATTACCATCATTTCCTTTAGGGATCAAGGAGACAAGCGTATAATTAACAGTAGGGTACAGTTTGAAGTTGTCGAAGAAATCCATAACTGCAGCAATGGTATCCTTTTTAATGATACTCCAAGAAGCTTTGAAGAATTTTGCCCCAAACCCATCAATACCAGGTGCTTTCAGGTTACCAATATCATTGAGCGCACTATAAACTTCCGCATCAGTAATGGGACATTCCAACATGTCTTTCTGTTCACTAGAGAGGTGGGGTCTATCTCTCATTGCAGTCAAGTTGATACCCTCCATATCATGGTTAGGACTTCCCATGAGGTTGCCATAGAAAAACAACACCTCATTCTCAATGTCCTCAGGCGTGCTAAGGATTTCACCTATCACAGTACACAGCTCAGTCATATCGTTGTTGTTTTGTCTAGCTTTAACATGTGCATGAAAAAATCAGTTGTTGCCATCGCCCAGTCTGAGCCAACTAATTTTTGATCTCTACATAAGCACCTGTTCCTCAATTTCACTCCAATGGACCACCTTAGCTGTCCTAGTTTTTACAAGTTGAATGATTTCTGGATTATCAAGGCTTCTCCTGAGCTGCAGCTGTGCCTCATGTAAATTCTGTCTTGCAGTCTTTAGTGCAGCAGTGGCACCCACCAAAGGTACACTAATCTTCTTCACAACATTTTGGCTTCGTAGCAGCTTCCTCCATATCACAAACATGGGACTGCCCTGGATAGGAGCACTCCAGCTACTGGCAATGTCTTCATGAAATCCCTCAATCTCATTTGCAACATTGAGGAACTTGAACTGGGGAGTTCTTTTCACAGCAGTTGTAGGACTAGAAAGTAGCAGCATGGCATGGTCAGAAATACCAGGGGTAAGGATTTTCAGGCATATATTTATGTATTTTTGAAACCACTCAGTGTTAGCCAGCCCATGATCAATCCTAGAGTGGATGATATTGTCTCCTTGCCGATTGGACCAGGTATAATAATCACCAACAATATCCATTTCACTAAGGTTACAAATGTTCATCATATCAGTTAAGTCTTTGTATTCTTTTATCTGCATCATAGAACCACCTTTCCTGTCAATAGTCTGCACAACATTGTTAAAATCACCAATAAGGAACCATGACCCCTGTTGGTTATGGTGAATATATTCAATATCGGTCCACAAGTTCTTACGTTGATCCAGTCTATTCGGACCATACACTACTGTCGCTTTCGCGAAAATAAGGTCCCGACACAACAGAAGAGTCGCCACCTTTCATTATTTATCCCTCAGAGCGGGAAAGGAAACGATCGGAAAAACCTAACGAAAAAGGGTAAGACAAGGTCGTCGCAACCATTGTCTGGGTTCGGGAGTCGGTTACGCAAGGGGAAGGTATTAGCACTCCTCACGTCCGTCGTACTTGACGGGATCCACGCTTGTTAGTTTACTTGGATGGGTTGGTTTTATTCTATCTACCTATCAAGGCTGGCTGAAAAAGAAAAGAAAATGACTCGGCAAAGCGTCGCACTTTATGCCTACGTATTCTCATCAGAGAATGAGAAATCAGAGTCAACGTAGTTCGGCCTACAAAGGATTATGGGGGAAGGTAGCTCGCCAAGACTTCGCCATCTTGTGCCCACGTACTCTCAACAGGTATGAGAGATCAGAGCTCACGTAGTTCGGGAAACTACAGTTTATTTCCTGTTTTTATGAAAGAAGTGTTTTTTATTGTGTTTGCGATTTCAACTGCACTAGAGACTATGACCTGAGAGTGAATGCGTCGCATGTTACCCAAAGGGTACCATACTAAACATCCAGACTGTGGAAAAGAAACTCTCCCACAATCCTTTCTCAGATAGCTTAAGGCTCGTAACGTACGAAAGAAATCATTCATGATTACTGTATCTTAAACTGTTTTGAGATGAGAAGAGAACATGCCTAGCTAGGAGGGAGACTATCAAGTCCTACTGTTGTCATGCCATGGATTCATCCTATGGTTGAGGTTTGAACAGGGAACTCCTAGAAGTTGTCATGCATAGGTTTCAACCTAAAAGTCTATCATCAAATCCTTATCCAAGGAAATGAGAGTCCTAAGGGATCATGTCAACGATACACCAAAACAGACAAAGCATCAGCTTAACAGTAAAATGCATGCAATGCAAGTGAGGGAGGAAATGTGTGTGGGGCTTCAGCCTCCACAAGCTCGTCTCAACCTCAAGCCAGTCATGAAATAGCAGTAATCATACTGAAATATAAACAACATGCTATCAAGCAATAAACAGTAAACTGCAATCATACAGATAAAAGAAATGAAATGCCATCAGGCAAACAAACCACATGGGCAAGGGAGCTGGGCTATACCGAATACCCGCAAGCAAAGCCACACAATAACAATACAAGCAGAGGGAGCAACTCAACCTCTAATGCAATCATGCTCCTAGATTCTACTTATTCTAGATGGACTTAATCTAATGCAACAGACAAATCAAGCAAAACACACAATACAGAAAAGAAAAACAGAAGAAAGCCTCAGCTCCTCCAGCAGCAACTCAGCCTTCAGACTTCATTCACTAATTGCTTTCCAGGTTTCAACCCTACAACATGAGTATCAACTCATCTTCTCCCTTAAGCTTCAGCTTCTTGATCAGCTCCACCTTCAGGCTTCACCTAATCTTCAGGGATCTTCAAGTATCAACTTGATCTTCATGCTCTTCAAGCTTCAGCTGGAATGGCAGTCTTCAAGGATTCATCCTCTTCAATAATCTTCAATGAAGTCTTCATCTTCAAGCTCAGGCTCAACCTCTCTCAAGATAATCAAACCAGAGAAAAATCACTTACTGGATAAGCTGGGGGATATTGAACTGCTTATTTGATCACCAAAGGTGACCTATAAGGGTTCAATATCAAGTGAAGGGTTCCCTCAAAAGTTCTACCTCCTAGGTATAGCACTAATCCCTCCAAAGGAGAGATGTGTATACCCTGGAAGGACTTTGAATCATAGGGAGGAATGGATGTGAAGAATACTATCCATGTTTGAGAAAGAAATTATCTACATCTAAGCTCTTCCTAATCCTAACCCTAAAACAACAAAAGGAAAAGAAGAACAAGCTCCCAAGCTCCTCCATGCCTCTTCCAATCTTCAACCATGCTCCACCATGCTCCACATAGAGATACCAAGCTTCTCAAGCCAGAGGGAAACTCCAAAGCAAAGCAAACTAAACAAACATGCCCTAAAGGCAACACATACAACCATACAATACAAAAATCAACTAAAAATAGCATATTATTCTATTAAATCCTAATATAAATGCTAGGGGACCCTACATAACTACCCTTAAGTCCCATATATTACCCATAGACTAAATTGCCCTATAAAACCTAAATCTAAAATTGTTATTGACCTATGTTAAAGTTTTAATCAAATTCTATACTAATTAGAATTACCTAATTAAAACTACCCTAAAAATTATCACAAAAATATGGCATTAATTCAGGGGTAACCTAAAACATACATCTAACTACCCTAAAAAGATTGAATTAAAAATCCTAAGGGAACTACCCTAATTAAACTCTACAAAATCATGCATCAACTAAAAGAATTAAAAAAGCAATTAAAAGTAAAAATATGCAAAAAATATAAAAATGAAATAAAATGGCTATTTTATGGTTTTATATTTTTCTTGACAGAAAATGGAAAATGGGAAAAAAAGTCTCATTAAAAAATACTCATTTTTCAATTTATTATGAATTTTTAAAGATTAAAGAAATTTGGAGAAAAAATTAAATGGAAATTATCATGGGGGTGCAAGAAGAAATGCTGCTCAGTTCAATTGGTGATGGGCCCAGATATGGGGGTTGGAATAGCAACGCGCGCCTCAGCCCAATGCAAATCAGAAAAATCAATTAAAAAAACAGAAGAAAATGTTAAAATCGCGGTGTGAATAGCATCAAATCATAGTACAAAACGGACTTGGGCCTGCATGGGGGGGGGGGGGGGGGTGGATAGCAATGTTTATTAAAGCCCAACCAGTGTTATTAGTGAAACGCGGCGTTTTGCGCCCAGAATTCCCTCCAAGTTTGCGTTCGAATCTCAGCCACCCGATCTGTTTCCAAGTCAACTTTCAACGCGCGCATCTGACGGTAGCGAGGTTATCTTCAACCTCATGCATCTAGGGTTTTCAGAAAAAAGCCATGAAACACATGCCATGCACCAAACTTCCAGTTCATCGTGTGCACTCATTTCAGCCTTAATTTCAACAAAATAAAACCCTATCTTGACCTATTTTTCACGTAGAACACAACCATGACCTTAGATTTCATTGAAGCAACCTCTATCCTCCTAACCGAATGGTGTAACTCCACGAATTCAAAACTTCGTCAGTTTTTGACCTTCACCAAACTCAGCAATCTTTATATAGAAATAATCCTTATGTTATGCTGATTAAAACTAGCCAAAAATCGTGCATTATCATCCATTAAATCACTCATTCCAACTCCATCAAGAATCAACCTCCATGGAAGAAACCTCTCCAATCAGTCTCAAACTCATCCAAATGAACCACCTAATTGTC